GATTGTAAGGCTTTTAGGTCCACCCGCCATGGCAACATGCCATGTGATTGGGTTTTTCTTTTTCCTTTTCCGATAGATGAACAAGGAGTATGGGATTGACAATCTTGTAAGTGAAAAAAATGAATCATTGATGGTGTTTACTTCATAGAATGACACTCAGACCATAAATGACCATAAATGCATTTTTGATGTGCTGAGAAATCATGTGCATAAAATGGGGTAGCAACATCAGTTGCTAACAGCACCCAAAACAAAAAAAGAAAGTAAAAAAGAAATATAATTACCACAATACCATGCTCACACAAACTTCATTGCAATTTGAGGTTCAAATTATTTGAATAGTCAAAAATGAGTAAAAAGTATATTAAAGTCAAATTCAGGGTTTATGTAAGTACCTGAGGCCAAGTATAATTATATAATATTACCTGGACTTATTAATCATATGTCTTTTTCAAGTGGATTTAGCAAATGGTTGATGGGTTTAGTGAAGTTAAGTGTTCGCATCACAAAGCAGCTCATCTAATTCCACTGGCCCTGGGGGAGGTTGTGCAAATCTACTCACATCAAACCAGGTCTCAAGTGGCAATTCCACTTGCACATCTTCATAAGCCCGGGACTCCGAGCGGGTGCTTACCAACAATAAAACAAAGAATTTAGATTTTTTTTTGGGAGATTCACTATTATACCCAATATAAGAACCCAAATTATAAAAAGAAAAAGAAAAACTTATGGCATGTTTACTAATCAGGAATTGGAATTCTCATCCGGAATTGAATTCCGCCTATGGAGAATTCCTTCGTTTACTTCACATCAAGGAATTGAAAAGTAAACGGGGCCCACACAAAATTAGGAATTGAATTCCTGATTTTGGAGGAATTCAATTCCGGAATTGGAGGTGGTATTCTAATTCCGGGAGAATTCACCCATTAGGAATTCATCTTTTTTGCCCATTATATCCTCACACAATTTTCAAAATTCCAAATATGCCATCTACTTTAACCAAAAAATGTGGACATTTTAGAAATTAATACCACTTCTACCCCAATTCCATATGGTTTAGTAAACAACTTCAATAGGAATTCGGAATCTAACTCCCCTCAATCTATATGGTTTAGTAAACAACTTCATTAGGAATCCGGAATCTAATTCTCCTCAATCCAACTCCTCCTCAATTCAATTCATCCTCAATTCAATTCCCCCTAATTCAATTCCGGATTAGTAAACATGCCATTATATGAAATGGACTTTAGAAACACACCAAAAACTCATTTACAACATAACAAAAAGGTTTTTAACTTCTTTTAAATTACAAAACTACCATTGATTTCTTAAAACAAACCCAACCCCAAAACCTCATAAAAAAGCCCAAAACACTAAATAGGGCATCAAAGTAATTTAATAATCAAAATTAAATTCAATAAGGTCAGCTATCATTTTTAATTTTTTTTTTGGGTTTGTTTATAGAAATTAAATGGTGTAGGGTTTATTTATAGTTTTAGTGCTAAGAATGGGTATATAACTAAATATCTCTTTTGTTTTCCGCCTTCGTCTACGTTCACTTTGCATTCTAAGTACAGTTCTCGTTTTAATTTAATTCTCATTATTTCTAAGAAAACCTAGCATGTAACACTACAATACTCACGGTCGCTCTCTCGTTCATGCGACAAGAGCCTTGACTGCTAGAGTTAGGGTTTCTCCAGTTTTCTTTACTCATTCTCTGCACCATCTCTCTTAGTCTTCTCTGATTGTCTCTTTGGGTTCTTCTTGGTAAATTAGGTATGACATTTTTTTACTCATTTGTTCTCCGTAGGGTGGCTGCGTTGGCTTCCTTTATGGGTTCCTAAGGAGCCAGTCTCTGGTGAGGGGTCTCCATCTTAACGCTATGGAGATGGCCACCGCCTCTTCTGATCAAGGGGATGACAAGTATGCAGCACCAAGCGAGAATCAAAAGCGTGCGAAAATTGGTGTTGGGCATCTGATTATTAGTGGCATGGATTTTTCTGGTAAGCATAGTATTTGTATCAAGGATTTTGTTGACAAGGCGGAGGAGACCAACCCTGAGGGGTCTCCAAGATCTCCCTAATAATTCTCCTATGGAACGTTCGTGGGCTTGGCAACTGATAAACGTTCCTACTATGAAGATCTTTCTTTGGAATTTTCTTCAGGTTAAGAGGCCAATCTTAGTCTCCCTTACTTGTCAGCTGGGGTTCTGGATCAAGAAAATTGGAGGTGGCGGTTATTGTTTAGCTGGATCAGTTATGATGATCACAATATGTTTTTGGCTTTGTACGAAAAAGTATGATGCTTTCTTTAGATCATAGGAGGCTTTCTTTGACAATATCTGCGTAGTGATGAGATATGTTTCAATGGTTTTGCGGTTGGGTGATTGACTGGATCTATTCTGATATCCATAGTACATTTTTGACTCTGTACAAAGAATTATGATGCTTTTTCTAGATCATAGGAGGACTTCTTTGACAGTACCTACGTAGTGATGGGATGTTGTTTTAAAGGTTTTGTGGTTGGGGTTTAGGTTGGTTTGTTTCATATAAGTTGTTTGACTCTTTTGTTTAGTAAATAGCATGGGTGGTACTATTTTTTACCCCAGAATTTTGTTTCTATGGGAAGGTTTTAACAAGGCCGCCGTTAACATGTTAGATCGTACCATATAATGTTCCTTTCGGTTTAATGAAATACTATCTTTTCTATAATAATAAAAAATACTACAATACTCACATCCATTAGCTGATTAGCCGACTAATATGTATTAATTGGATCCACACATTTTCTTTAATGTAATAGATAAGAGAGAGAATATGATATATGTATATTTGTAATATATATAATATACATGTTACATGTATAATGTATTGATTGCCATGCAACTTTTGTCAGCCAAAGAAACAAAAAGGGTAAAAGAAAAGAGGAGAAGATATTTGTTGCCGATAAGGGATTGCATGGTATATTTTGCAGTCCGTACAATTTAAAACGGCCTCCATATTAAGTTAGAGGCTCAGAGAGAACACAGGCTATATAGTCTATAGATCCAATCCGATCCAATTAATGTCCGATATATATTTGAATCTTTGATTTGATGTGGTCCAACAAGTCACTTGGGTTGCTTGGACCACCCTAAATTTTTGTCTCTGGTTACTAATTGATTAAGCTTACTGGCAGGCACCGCTATGGCAACGTCTCGTCCTCATCCCTATCTGTAAAACTTTCTGGACATTTTCTGTGTTGACAGATTGAGCTTCACACCTTCACCATGACCTCGCTTGTAACGGAAAACACAAAGGCCACTTTTTGATTGGTTATGGCCCAAACTGGTGCATAACCGGGTTCGGTTGGGTTGTGCCTGGATGGGATAGGTAAACAATGGTAAAACTCAATGTTGGAAATGGGTTGGGTTCATTTGCCATCTTCTTTGGTGCATTGTTTGATTTGACTGGGCTTGGATTGACGGCCTGCTGCAATTGGGAGAACAACAACCGTTACTTTTTCATGACGATGGGTCATTCACTTACCACAAGTACATGCACGTGTAACTCCTCTTAACTACTTAAGCTACAAGCCCATTGCCACATATATCGTCCTTGTTCATTTTTAACTAGTGTTATGAACAACCTTAGTTTCTTTTTTTCCTTTACATTTTTTATTTAACGAAAACGACACGAGCACCATCACATGTATCCTTTAAATTAAGGCTCAATAATCCTATTTCATTAAGATCAAATCCAAGACTAAGACGTATTGTTTAACAAGAAAGGAAAGCACCACACCACTTCCAAGAACTAACCAAGGGCAAATCATTGCCAAGTTTGAAAGAAGCAACTTTAAAAGAGCATCTTCTTGAGCTAAATATATATAAAGACTCAGTGAAACAGGAACCAGATCATATCTAAATGAAATTGCATACCTGCACTGCATGAAATCTATATAGTATATGCTAAACATTCAACAATTTTTTTGGTTGGATGCAAGCAACAGCCATATTCTAATTGGGACATGATAGCACACACATCAAAAAAGGAACCAGAAATAGAAAGCAAATCCAATCTCCAAGCCATTTTTCTCTTCATACTTCATCCTGCATGTGACAAAATTAAACATTCAAAAAAAGAATTTCCAATAAAGGAGACTCTGAAAGAAAGAGAGAGATAGAGAAACACCTGATCAAATGAAAAATACTGAAAGAAGGGTAACCCTGCAAAAGCCAGTATCTGAGCTATTTTGATTTTCTCTTCTGTTTTGATCATTGAAAATCATTCATTCGTATCAGATGGCTGCTGCTGCTGCTGCTGATTGAAGGAAGCTACACTACCTGGCCTCTGTCCCTTGTTCTGGTGAAATTGGGTCAAAGCTTGAGAACTCACAACCCCAATATGACCATCCTGTGAGAGGCCAAGCTCTAAACCTGGAACTTGCTGGTTGCTTCCACTTAGAATTGTGGGAAAACCCATTGACCCCAAATTCATACCAGGAACATCAAACCCATGAAACCCAAACTTATGCTGCATGATGTTCAAGTTTTCACTCCCAAAATTGACTGTTGCCTGACCAGAATTTTGATCAAAACCTGACCTAACCCCACTGAGAAAGGGCAAGGGCCAAACCCCACTTGCCACATTAGATCTGCCCATATGAAATGCCCAGTTGGCACTGCCTTCAGACCCAACACTTGGTCTTATTAGTCCTTCCATCCTTGTATGCAACCCAGAAGAAACAGAGGAAACAGAGCTCCCCTGTTCAGAAACAGAGGACCCTGCAGCTGCAAGAGCTGAAGCAGGTACAGTTCCAGAGCCAGTGGCAGCTATAATCGATGGCTCAGCTTGCTGCAGCAGCCACTGAATTGTTTCCCCATCAGACTTGTGACCCAATTCTCTGGTCAATTGAAAAACCCTAGCTGCACACAAGGCAGGCATCCGTATTCTTCGGCCTCTACCGTCCACCTTTTTGTGCCTGTCCTTGTTGGAGCTCCTCTTGGGCGCCAGGTGCTTCTTGTTTTCATCATCTTTGTTTGCTTTCAGAATCTGCAAGTCCTTGATTTGCGCAGGCTTGTTCTCTGCCATGTCTGCTTTTGTGGGATCAAGCTCAGCTCAGGACCCAAAATGGTGGGCACCTCTTGTTGGGGACGATGATGTAAGCCCTTTGGTTCAGTGAGAGAAGGAAGTTTGGGGGGGCGTTTTAAATTTGAAGGCCACTTCTCAAGGCTTGTTCTTTTATTGGCACGCGTAAATTTGTCAATGCGAAATATCTTGAAATTCAATAATTGAAGTCGGAAAGTTACAACTCGGACCGCCACCCTCCCTCTCACGCTATTTCCTTTTCCTTTTTCTTTTTCTTTTGTTTTTTCGTATCATAGTTCACACATGCTCCAAAAAATGGGAACATCACATAGTATTGTCAATTTCCTCCAAATTTTTAAGTGCTTCATATTAATCTATTTAAAAACTACATATTAAAAATGATGAAATACGAATTACATAAGATTTTTTAAAAATGAAATTCGAGGGAACCTCTTACTATGTAATTATACTATGGGACATGTGACTAAAAATATAAAATATTTATTATATTATAACACAGGAGTTAATAAAAGCACTTTTAGAAGAACTTTTAACCGTGATAAACGTCAAAGACTGCATTGCGCCTTAAGTAAGGCAGTGGGGGCGTCTATTCTATTGTGCCTCAAAAGCAGTAACTGATTGGCCAGGCTTGGCTTTCGTCTTTGCATAGATTCAACTGTTTCTGACACTAAGGAGATTGATAGTAATGGGTCCAAATTGGCATGAAAAAAATGATGAAATGGTCTAAGCGTTTGGTGCAAACAATAATTAAGTAGGCCCCCTTGATTCTTGATTGAAAGAGGAATTGCCCCTATTTTCTTTGATCATTTTTGACAACTCATCACATGAAACGTCGGAGATACAGCCAAATCATCCAACTTGATGAGCATACATAAAAGAAGACGTGACTTTTATAACCATAGCGGATAATGTTTGGAAGAATATTTTATTAGTAAATTAAAGCAAACGAAATTTTGCAAAATCTTTTTAAAAACTTGCAAACATAAAAGTGTGGATGACTTTGCTTAATGTCTTTATTTTCGTCGACGTTGGTTTCTTTAATGAATCAATTATGAATGGGTAGGTAGGTATGAGATATGTATCTGATTCTTGTGTTATTTTTTTCATGTGTTAGCCATCCAGGAGTCAAAAAGGGATCTTTATAAAATTTTCTATTGACAAATTACCCAATTTCTAAAGTTTATGCTGAAATTCTTACTTTAAAAACGAGTAGGTTTAAAGATAAAACCCATTCTTTTGTTCTACTTTTTTATTTATTATATATATATATATATATATAAGTAGTTTGCTCTTAATATATATATATATATATAAGTAGTTTGCTCTTAATTTTCTTCGACCTTTTTGGCCAAAGACGGAAAGTGAAGGAGAGTGGTTTCATTCCAATGTTCATATAGGGCCGTTTTTGAGATTTTGTGGGCCTTGTGCGAAATTTAAATTGGGGCCTCCCATAATCTAATACGAAAATACTATATACATTTTTTTGCCATAATTTAATGTCATAAAATAATTTTTTTATAACTAAAAGTCGTCATCAATAAACATGTAATGACAATCAGAAATCAAATTCATAAAAATTTAAATGTTTCTATTTGATAAAGTTAAATATTAGTATGTTTGGTACAAAAATAAGCTCATTATGCCTTCATAAGGTCCCTTGCTACCTCCAATAAGCAATCTATGTTTAATAGGACAAAAAATTGCCAATCACAAATTAAAGAGTAGTTGCACACAAATGTCATTAACAAATTAGATTATACTGCAAACTGAAAAGCAACAACAAAAATATAGATAACTATACAAAAATACTCACATTGTATTTGTTGTCTTTATTCGAAGAATTAAAACTATTATGAGAGCTTTTTCACAAAAACAAAAAAACAAAAATTACACAACCAATACAATACTAATGTCTGAAAATTGATCTTCTTGAATTTTTAGAAGAGAAAACATCAATCAAATGCTCATAATCAAGTTTTTCTAGGAGTTCACTTTCAATTGAAATTAAATCTAGTCCGTTTAATCTTTCTTGTGACATAGTTGATCGCAAGTATGATTTTAACAATTTTAATTTTGAAAAACTTTTTTCTGCAGATGCAACAATAACAAGAATAGTCAATAGAATTCTATATGCAATTGATGCATTCGGAAAACTATTTATTCTTTTCAAAAAAATTAATATTGCAGTAGCTGTGATTTTTTATTTTGGTAAAAGTTCTTGTAAAACTTTCAACTCAACAAATAAATCATCCCCATCAACATCAGAAAACTTGTCATTTTTCAAAATGCTTTCCAGATGACTGCAACAAGTCTTCAAATTGTCGTCATCAACTGAATTTAACTTCTTCGAAGTAAACAAAAACCCAAAAATATTCTCATACTCTTGATATTGTTGAAACCTTCTCCGTAAAGAACCAATAGCTTGATCCACTAAATACAATAAATTATCAATTCTAAACTTTTCTTAAGCTGATTCAAGAACCGATTGGGATGGCTCACAAGCATTCTCATCAAAATGTTTTATTCTACGAAATTTTTGCTTTTCATGAAACACCAGGTCAATGGTCTCCTGAATTTGAATTGAGACTTGAATCTGACTATTTTGATTTTGAGTGGTCTTCATGAATTTAGGAATTAGGGTTTTCTCTTTTTGGTGTTGAAATTCCTGAAATTGAAAGAATAACAAATATTGCCAAAGGATTGAAAAAAGAACCAAAGAAAGATTGATGAATCATGATAATTACTTAAGAGCAATAAGAAGCCATGAATTTTGTTTTGTTTTGTTTCAAGTTGGGGTGGGGGGGATATATATACTGCTGCTTAGTTTGATGTTTCCCTTGTTAAAAGTACTTTTTGTTTTTTTAATTTAAAATTTGTTGTTATAATGCGCAAAAAAAAAAAAAAAGGCGAATGGAATGCCTCAATGAGACTCAAACCAGGGCCCTTTCTGTTAAGGGGATAAGTGTTGTGTCGGATCAGCTACACCAAAATCGATTCAGCTGCATTCTCAACTTGTGATACTCGCAAGTGCACGAGCCATTCGGTAGTATAGCATATGTAAGTGCGAGGTCGATCCTATGAGGATTGATGATAGATTGATTCAATTTGATTCCCTGCACAAAACAGAAAACAAGAAAGAAGATAACATAAAACAAGAAAGAAAGAAAAGAAACTAACTCAAGTAAATAAGTTAACAAGTTTAATTCAGATTCTCAAATTGATTCTAGCTAAAATATGATTAAGCTATGGTGTTGGGTCCTAACCTTGTATTCCTAATTCTCTAATTAAATCCTTGTTGTCGAACCTAAATTAAGCATTAGAAATTCATTAAGCATAAAAGAATGTTTTAAACAACCAAGCATGTGTCAATCCATGTTGTCGAATGTCCATACATACTCTTCCTATTCATAGTTCAATTCGAATTAAAGCATATGGTGTCTACTCTTAATCCCAACTAAGATAACTAACATATAAGTTTTAATGGTAATTAATCATTCAAACAAGCATATTAACTTATAAGCATAATGAATAAGAACAAGAACCGTAATTGAAACTTGGAAACTAATTAAACTTGAAAACTTAAAATAAGAATTTACATGATAATGAAAAACAAATTACAACTAAGAAAAACATAAAGGAAAATTTAGCAAAAGAGTTTTATTACAACAATTGAGAACTTAAAAGAAAGACTAAAAGAATTTGAGGGAGAGAAGAGAGAGGAGCTCTAGAGAGGTGTTGAGAGCTTCCCCCCTTGGGGTGTGTTTGAGAACTTAGAGAATTTGAGGAAGAGAAGGAAGAGGACCTCTGGAGAGGTGTTGAGAGCTTCCCCCCTTAGGGTTTGTTTGAGAACTTAGAAAATTTGAGAAAGAGAAGGGAAGTAAAGAGGTGTTTGAGAGCTCCCCCCCTTGGGGTGTGTTTGATAGCTTGGAGAACCTCACTATTTATAGGCCTAAGGGAAGTAAAAATTTGATTTGAGTATTGCATCTACCTACAACACTTACTTCACCAACTTTACCTAACTTCCCCCTAAAAAACAATTAGCTCATGCATATGTCATGTATGACAATGAACTGTAGTCTGCTTGTAGGCCGAATTTGGGCTTGTTCCTCTTCTCAATAAATTCTGGAAAAATATGGACCTGTAAGCTTTTTGTCTTATATTTCCAACCATATGCAGCCCATCACAAGGAAAAATCGGAAAGGCCTTCAAATGTCATTTTTGGCACAATAACGCAGAGTTGCCGAATTTCACCTTAAGCTGCCAAAACTTGCATAACTTCTTCTAAAAGATTCGGAATTATGAACCATAAAATGCTCCAGAAACTAGACTTCCACATCTGTCCAATGACGTATAGCTCATTATCTTCTTCCTGAGCACGTACAGTCCAATCCATGAAGTTAACTGATCTATAGACACAATTTTGAGCTAACTTGACTCCAAAATGCATGAAGTGAGTCTCAAAGCTTAATACACTGAAACAAAGATAAAAGAGGGTTAAAAACACAAGTTTAACTCAAAAACATAACCAAATCATAAGCTAGAATGGTACGAGTCAACTCTGCCACACATGTTTTTTTTGCTTATATATAACATGCTAAAGTATATATACAATTCCTATAATATATATATATATATATATATATATATATATATATATATATATATATATATATATATATATATATATATATATATATATATATATATATATATATATATATATATATATATATATATATATATATATATATATATATATATATATATATATATATATATATAATATAAAGAATTTTTTTTTCGGGGACCTTGTGCGATGGCACCACTTGCACCACTCTAGGGTCGCCCCTGTGTTCATTCCTACAATTCATGTGATGATTCTTGGGCTAGCCTATGGTGTTAAAACATGTCAAAAGATAAACCCTATGGTGTTTGGTTTGCAGGAAAAGGAGTCTTGAATGGTTAATCATTTATTTTCCTTTGTTTGGTAAGTCTAAATTTGGGAAAATGATGTTCATCTTTCCTTCCCTTGAGAAATTAATTTTAAACAATTGAAAAAGAATTATGTTTTTTTTTTCTTCCCAGATTTGCATATTTCTAATTTAAGATAATTTTTTTAAATACAAATGATACATTTTGTTTAATTTTCCAGAT